TCCAGCAAGGATATGAGGAAAGGGAAACTGAATCAAAGGAAGATAGAAGCTGCAAGAGGGGGTGTGTCACAGCCTCATCTGGATGCAGCTCCAGAAGCGCGCAGAACCTCTGCTCATATGGTATGGGCATCCCGGCAAAGGGCCATTAGGGCTCACGGCCTGGGGCAACAGAGGAGAGTCCGCCCAGAGACAAACAACCAATGGCAGGCTCAGAGATGGTGTGGAGGAACCTGGTTGGTCTCCCGAAGCTATGTATGCGCTCTCTCTTCCGGGAACAAATGAGTCTGCATCTTCTCACCCTCACCTGACTCCTGGTGTCTGTGTGACGACTCCCCACCTCTCGCCTCCTCAGCCTGAACCCCCTGTCCTCACCCATGGCCTGGACCTTTGGGAGGAGGACCAACAATATGGAACCTCTCCGGAGAAGCCATGTAAAACAGTCAGTGGAAAGAAAAATAAAGCAATTTACCTGATGGCTTCCATTCCTCAAAGTTTGCCCTGTACGGTGCACGCTATACTTCTTGCGGCATTACCAGGCCTTGTGCTGTTCCTGGGGAAAGCAGAGGCTTCTATGAGCCCATTAACTTGAGCGTCTGCTCCACAGCTGCAGCGGCTATGAAGAGTGCCATGGAGGGAGACTTGGCTTTAAGATCCGCCTTGCTCCAGGGAACAAGAGACAGTTGGTGTGAGGAGATGCCTACAAGGAATAGCTGCCAAGGCTGCATGACTGCACACCACTGTGAGAGCATCCCAGAGAAGCATGACAAGCAGCCAAGTGGCCAGGGGCTGGGGGTGGGGTGGGAGAGTACTTTAGAGGTGGGGATAGCAGATAAAAGAAACTCCACCAACTGGGTCTGGCTCAACGGAATAAGTACTCTAGTGTCTTAAGTTTCGCTTTTAAGAATATTCCACCTTAGTAAAACCACTTTGGAAATCAACAGGTGCTTTCTCAGAAAATTGGGAATAGTTCTGCCTCGACCAAGCTATACCACTCCTGGGCATAATACCCCAAAGATGCCCCACCGTACAACAAAGACATTTCCTCAACCATGTTCATGGTGGCTTTATTCATAATAGCCAGAAACTGGAAACTGCCTAGATGTCCCTCAGCTGAAGAATGGATAAAGAAACTGTGGTACATCTACACAATGGGATACTATTCCACTATTAAAAACAAGGACATCATGAAATTTGCAGACAAATGGATGGATCTGGAAAAGATTATCCTGAATGAGGTAACCCAGACCCAGAAAAACACACATGGTATATACTCACTCATAAGCAGATATTAGCCATATAATACAGGATAACCACACCACTATCCACAGATCTTAAGAAGCTAAGTAACAAGGAGGACCCTAGGGAGAATGCTTAATTCTCATTCAGAAGGGCAAATAGAATAGACACTGTAAGTGGTGGAAGAAAGAGAACAGGATGAGAGCCTACCATAGATGTCCTCTGAAAGTCTCCACCCAGCAGGGGATTGAGGCAGATGCTGAGTCTCACAGCTAAACTTTGGGCAGAGCACAGGAAATCTTATGGAAGAGTTGGGGGGACGAAGGACACAGAGGTGACCGGAGCTCCACAGGAAACCAACAGAGCCAACAAATCCGGGCCCAGTAGGGCCTACAGACTGATGCACCAACCAAGGACCATGCATGAAGAGGACCTAGGCCCCTGCTCAGATGTAGCCAATAGGCAGCTCAGTCTCCATGTGGTCCTCCTAGGAAGGGGACCAGGGGCTCTCTCAAACATGGACTCTGTTGTATGCTCCTCGATAACTTCCCACAGGTGGGGTGGCATAGCCAGGCCACAGATGAACAGGATAATGCAGGCAGTCCTGAACAGACTTGATAATCTGTGGCCACTTGGTAAAGGAGAAGGGCTTCCCCTTTCTGAGGACTAGGGGAGAAGGATAGGGGGAAAGAGAGAGAGAGTGGGGCTGGGAGGAGACAAGGGAGGGATCTACAATCGGGATGTAAAGTGAATAAATAAAATGTTAAAAAAGCATATTCCACCTGTACAGAGGAACTCTGAAGCAAACAATTCTTAGTCATTAATTATATTCATGTGATGACTTCACCTGACTTTTAGATAAGAAACAATCTCAGACCTGTGAGATTTAAGTGTCGTGTTAGGTTAGGATTGTACAGCCAGCTTCATGGAGAAGACAGACTGCATGTCTCAGCAATGCTATTCTCTGAACAGATCACAGGTTGATATGTCATCCACCCAGCACAGCACAGATATCAACCTATCGTAAACGGTTGAGTTCCAACTTAAATTCAAAACCTTAAGAGTGTAATTCTAATCCTGTCCTCTGAGATGTCAATGCAAAAGTTGCACTTCATGGGGAAAGGAAAAGCTCAGTTCTGTACTTTATAACAATGCTATCTTGAACATTTGGAAGTTAACTAAATTTACTATGTTTTTTTTCATGTATAATCTTATTAAATTCTCACAAGAGCATAGCAGGTAGGGTATGTTACTGCCCCATTTGTAAATGAGGACAGAGAAAAAGTCTAATTTACACACAGCCAACCTCTGAACCCTGGGCCTGTGACCTCAGTAAGTCATTCTACATACACGTGAATGACAACAGCTAGAGCCTATAGCTGAAGAGGTAAGGATAGCACACAGCCCTGCCCAACTGGAGTCTGTGCTCTGTGGGAAGGATGGCCACTGAACAAGGGATTGCAAGGAACGGGAGAAAGAGATTGCTCCTAAAGCACGGTCCAGCCTACGAAGAGAGCAACAGCACAAAGCTTATCGTCCTCTTAATATGAGCTGCCAAGGTCACATCTGTAAAAGCACCATGCACTCTGACACTGCATAGATTTTTTTTTTTTAAGTTCAGTGATTATTTTTCCAATCCCAACAGGTGACAAATAATTAATGGTTAAATCAAAAGTAAAGTTCATTAAAACCAAGTACATATTCACTTCCCCTTTGTCATAAATTGTCACTGCGTTAGTAAATACAGGAGTCCTTATTATTTTAATTACAAGATAGTTCTTTCATGCAGATATTTCTATGATAGATAATAGTTGTACTCTAGAATACAGTATGTTTTGGCTGTGGTGACACACACCTTTAATCCCAGCACTTGGGAGGCAGAAGTAGGCAGATTTCTCTAAGTTCCAAGCCAGCCTGGTATATATGGGAATTCCAGGCCAGCCAGAGCTACAAAGTGAGATCCTGTATTCAAACACAAAAACAAAACAACAACAACAAAAACAAACAAACAAACCAGTATGTCACTTCTTGGCAGATCTAAAGAGAGTCTGACATGGGCACAAGCAGAGAGATTCTGGTGTGTGACGAGCGATGACCGCACATCAGCTCTCACACAGCACATCGTTGGGCAGCTTTCCCGGCTTCTGGGTCCAAATTCTTCACCAGCAAGAAGTGGTTAGACAACGGGTAAACCGCAAAGAGTTTCTCGGAATGTTGAGTGAATTAACGCATGCAAAGTGCTTGGCCTTCGGTATCTCTCTAAACTGTCTGCCTGGTCGCAGACACAGAAAGAAGCAGCAAATGTGTGGAGTGTGGATGGGCTTGGTGTTAGGGAGCTTGGCTAGGTGCCACAGCCAGCACCTAGGTCAGCAGAGAGGGCAGATCCAGGTCATCCTAGTGAAGGGCCCTTGCTGGGAGGCAGAAAGGCAAATGGAGGCTGACAGACAGTAATTGGAGCTAATTCTTGTTTGGGAGGAAAGAAGAGCAACATGGACATGCCTCAGCAACACTCAAAACACATTACTGGAGAGAGGAGACCCTCTACTAAAACTTGTTTTCCTGATCAGTCTCATCCTCTACCAAGGGCCTCAGGATGACAGAAAGCCAAAGCCAGAAAGGGACCGGGAAGTTGTGGTTTTCAAGTCTCTAAGCCACAAAAACCTTTTTCTTAAAAGAAAAGTATGAATGAAAAAGTAAAAGCGTGCAACCACTTAGGCTTCTGAAGAGATGTGGTTGCGGAGGGCAGCGGCTGTGGTCTCCACTTCCCACCCACATCCCCACCACAGCTCCCGAAGCATCGTCTGAGAACCACAGATAATGCCCCTCTGCTCGACTCCACGGCAGAAACTGAAGGTCAGGAAGCAGGCGAAGAGGGCTAGAACTGAATACAACCAATTCCCTAACTGCCAGTCAGATCCTCTATCGACAGTTTGCTACATCCTTGACTCACACACTAAAAAGATAAAGGACACAAGCTGCTTCAAAGAGAATGTGCCTGGTCACAGGAACAAAACGCAGGAGGGGGGCGGGGAACCCAAGAAGTGGGCCGCTGAGAGCCTAACCTCCGCTAACCCACGTGTGAACAGGACGTGGTCTTCATCGCTGACTAGAGCTGCCAAACAGTTCTTGTTTGGGTTATTTTAACATTAAAACAAACAAACAAAAAAGTCCTGAGAGAAAGGCAGGCATCACAGGAAATGCCTGGCGGACTCACACTCACACATATGAGTGCACGCAGTTCTGCTGGGGAGGAAGTTTAAGCCACATTAATGAGACTGTGGGGGAATGAAAACAGGGAGTGAATAACTAGCAGAATTAATTGCAGTGACTAATGGATAGATTAGTGTCTTCTGGTGCCCAGCGTGATTTATGGTCTGGTCGCAGTACCCGGCTCAGATCATCCGGCTATACTTTGAGGCACCTATATTTGAAAACCAATGGTCAGGTCAAGTGTGTCCTCCTCGGGACTCTCTGTGTTGCAAAGTTCAAGGTTCAAATCAACATGTGTAAATTATTCTCTAAAGCCCTGTAACTTTCCTCACGTGAGTCACCCGTGATAGAGCCAGGAGGCTGGAGGGAATCTGGACACACTGAAGCCTGTGACACTCAGCTAGGTAGTGTGGGCATCCCAGCACACAGGACAGCATTTTTACCTTTTCAGTCCATAAAAGGAGAGTGTACAGTACTCAGCGATAAGGCTGCCAGATTGGACACAGATTGTTTCCCAGCCTTATCTGTCCCACATTCCTTATGAGGTATCTCACCTTCTCCAGTTTGAACACAGCACCAGTGTGTGGGTGGATGAGCCCTTGCTGGCAGTACTGCAGGGCTAAGGACATGCTCTTGGAAAAGACTGCGAAGTCCTGGTGTTTGTAGCGGCCCCAGAACAGGCCCATGGCAGAGATGTTCTTCAGGAGCAACAGGTTGCTGGGCACAGATGCGATGTTTCCTCCAGCGAATCCCAACACCACAATCCTGCCCTCCCACGCCAGGCTGAGGGCCAGGAGGAAGGAAAAGAGAAAAGGTTATAAGAAGCAATGGACAGGGCTGGCAAGACAGCTCAGAAGGGCTTGTGGTACAAGCATGAGAACCTATGTTCCGATCCCCAGAACTCACCCCAGGCATGGCAGTGTGCACGGTCCTGACATAGGCAGAGACCGGGGTCCCCAGGCAGCCAAACTGAGATGTCAACCTCTGGCATCAATAGGAGGCCCTGTCTCAAAAAGTCATGTGGAGAGCAAAAGAAAAGGAGACCTACCATCACTCTGGCCTCCACACAAGCATACATGAGCAAGTACACCACCCCCAACATGCGCATACACAGAGGGAGGGGAGAGAGAGAGGGAGAGCAATGGCTACTTATACCCATCAAGATGACTACTATTTTATAAAAAAGAAAACAATTACTAGCAAGGATCCGGAAAAAAAATGAAATTCTCAAGTTTTATAGGTGGGATTTATTTCAAAATGGGGGCTCCTATTATGTGTGACTTTTCCTCAAAAAATGTAAAAAATGAATTCAGTAATTCTATTCCTGGGTATACTTAAGAGGCCTGAAAACAGAACACTGAGTGCTCTCTGTGCATGTTTATGTCCATGCAACATCATTCCCAAAAAACCAAGAGGTAGAAACAAGACAAGGGTTCTCAACAGATGAAAGGATAAAGTGTGACACACACACACACACACACTAGCATTCGGCCTCTGCAAAGAAGGAAATCTGTCTCATGCTGTCACACAGGTGTCCTCTGGGACAGTGTGCTTTAGAATCGAAGCCGTCTCTTCAACTGTAGAAGGATATTAGGTATCAACCAATGTCACTCAAAAGATTGTATCTCAAGACAAGTTGGCTTGAAGATTTTGAACTTAGGCAGCGGAAATAAGACAGATGATGGAATATGGAGCCACTTTAAACAAAGACACTTTAGGACTCCGTAAGGCATAGTACTTCTTTAGAGAATTCTGGATAGTCTACAAATATCCCCACATTTTCTGCAGCCCATTGTGAAAAGTACCATAGATTATGTTACACATCAGTTCTACACACAGGTCTTTGATAGAAAAGATGTGCATGGTTGTTCGGTTCAGTTTTTTTGTTTGTTTTTTGTTTGTTTGTTTGTTTGTTTGTTTGTTTGTTTTTCTTCTTCAGAAAGGAATTGAGAAGCTATTTTTCAAAACACAATTATCCAGAAGGCAAGATGGAAGACACAGAAGGACAGTCCACTTGGTCTCTGCACTCCCCCTCTGTTTCTTTGCTAAGTACAGGACCAGCACCATGAGTGATGAGTGTCCACATGCCTGCCTCCCAGCCCAGAAAAGAGCCCTTCTGGATTCTTCCCAGTGCTAACTGGAGCCCTTCTGTGGGCAGGCTGCTCATGCTGCTCTGGTTTTTCTACATCAAACTGAGACAAACTACAGAGCACGGATGTGAAAAATAAAACCAGGCCAGGTGTGGTGACTCATGTGGACTTGTAACCTCAGCACTCAAGAGGCAGGGGGATCAGGAGTTCAAGGCCAGCCTTGGCTACAGAGTGAGTTTCAGGACAGCACAGCAAATATCCTGTCTTAAGAAATCCAGGAAGACAGGGAAGCGAGAGGGAGGAAAGGCAGTTGGGAACAATGCTCTCAAAGCCCTGAGTGAAACACGGAGAGCTGATAAGGTGGAATAGTCCAGTGACACAGTCAATCAGACAAACCAAGGATGCACACAGCTAGCTGCTGCAGGACCAGCGTCATCTGAGGAGCTTGGTGCATAATCAGCTGGTGCAGCCACAGCCATCCTCGCATCTGAACAATGATATCCCCAGGACCCCACACCCCCATGTATTTAAAGCAGCCTAGTTGGGGGCCAGAGAGCTAGATTTAACACACGGCTAGTATCTAAACTCTTTGGCATTGCCAACTAAAGAGTCTGCAGTCATTTTTTGAATATTTTCCAGTTGAGTATTTTGTTTTTACTATATTTAAGCATTTCCTGATTTTCTCTGCTTCTGTTCCTTGTCACCCACCCACTCGGCTATTCTGGTTGACGCTGATGCCTACAGGAGACGTGAGCAGCAAAGGCAAAGAGAAACCAAGTTGAGAGTTAGAGATGCAGGAAGGTTCTGTGGAGCATTGGCTTCAGCCATTCTGGGCAGAGCAGAGCACACACCTGCGGAGTGACTCCAGGAAGATGTCTCCTCCCACCATGTCAATGGCCACATTCACCCCGCCGCTGCCCACCAGCTTCCCCACTGCATCCTTCAGGCTGCCCTGGCTGTAGTTCACGCTGTACTGGGCACCCCTCTGCATCGCCAGCTTGCACTTCTCGTCGCTTCCGGCTGCAGCTATGACCTGAGTGAAAACACAAGGTTTCCAACGGTCCAGACCATGTCGTAGGCGGGGTACATCCCTCCAACCTAGGCTCCAGCCAAAGCATTTCTCAAGGAGCTCTTCCTGCCCAAGCACTGGCCTTGACCCCAACAGTGACAGCACCCTGCTGGGCCTTCCATGTACCATTAAGCCCTGAAGTGCACAGTTGGAGGAACCCAATTTCTAGTTAGGAGATGGCTTAAAAGGCTGAAAGTTTTCTCCACCATTTAATGAGCACCCACTGTGAGCCACGTGGTAAGAATACAAACTGGACATCACACCTGGAGTCAAGAAAGCAAGACGCGGTGTGCGGCAGGGAGAGAGAGAGGCTGCACAGGCACAAACCAAAGACATCCGGTCTAGATGCTGAAGATCAGCATCTTCGGGAAAGCCCTCCCAGGGGAGGATCAGGGGAAATTCCTGAAGTCAGCTAATCCTGGCTCTTCTACTCACCAGCTGTGTGACCTCCCAGCAAACTCTCAGGAAGAACTAACACACTGTGTCACTATTGCCAAGGCACTATTCTAAATGCTTTTAGGAATGGGAATAATTCATTCATTCATGCCAACCAATTACTCTACCACTGAGCTCTGCCTGCTAAGCCATGCCTGTGTTTTTACTACAGCCTTTCTCACAAGCACGGGTGTGGAACTATCTATCTTGACAGCACTCAGAATACTTTCAGACTGAAGTACTGCAAAGTGTAGATGTTTGGATTAGGGATATTCAGCCTGTACCGCTCAAGAATCTTACCCCTAAGAAAGCAGTACAGAACCAGTTGCAGTGGTGTATGCCTAAAAGTCCATCTGTCTGCAAGGCCGGTGGGAGAATCTGAAACCAGCGTAGGCAACGAAGTAAGACCCAGTATCATTTTTATTGCCCCGTTCTAATGACCATTTTCAGCCATTTGTAAACTCACTGCAGCATTGCTATGTATATGTGATGGTTAAATTCTCTTTGAGTTAGATATACTAGCTTTATCGCTATTGGTTATTAACTAAAATCCTTGACATGTTTAAAAAAATTGTATTCAGATACTGAAGGACATCAGTGCCCATTAAGGATTCCGACTCACCCATAACTATTTGGAACTGAAAGCTCCTTTCAAATATTCCTTTCAACAGTAGGGTTTACTGAGGGCTATTCTCACAGAGGGCCCTGGTGAGCAGAGGCCAGACCAGGACCAGGAACCTGATCCCATCCATAGACCGTCACCAGGTCCCAGTGAGACCTACAGTGAGTTACTTTCTCTCTTCGTGCTTCCCTTTCTTGATCTGTGAAGCAGAGACAATAAACACTTGGAGGACTCATCTCCCAGGGGCAGTGCGAGGATCAAGGCTAAGATAATTGCTTTGGACGCACTCTGGAAGCAGTATGCAACACTGCGAATAGAAGGTATGATCAGAAGACCTGTGCCAAGTAGGGGGCATGGAAACATTTTTAACCTTTATTTTTGTTTACTTATATCTAGAGGACTTTTTGCTTCAAAACGAGATATAGCTCGGATGACTTTTAATATCTGAACTGAAGCAAATTTTTCTATTTAATCTCTTAGAACTAAATAAATGGTATAATTTTAATTCTTGTAAAATGCTAAATAGACATGAAGACTAATAATGATCTCTCTCCCTAAGAGAGCCTGCAGTCCTCCCTGATAACATGAAATGTGTTAATATTCCAAAAGAAACCTCTCAGGTCCTGAGGTTGTTCTTAGAACTCACATCTCCTTCCCCAAGGAAACTAATGTGAGAAAGGAGAGTTGCTACCTAACACCAATCCAAACACCATCAGACTTCTCCTATGTGCTCTCTCTCCATCCCAGCCACATGTGCCATGGGAGCCTTGCTTTGAGTGTGGCCAACCAGCTCTCCATGTCCTCCTGTGCTCTGTCTCAGGAAACGGCAATTCCAAACGTTAGCTTGGTTTCTTCCCACTCAGAGCCTAACAATAGCAAGCAGGACTCATTGGAGACACATACTGACACTCCATACCTCTGACAGGCACACTGCACATAGAATCTCAATGTTCCCAGCAGCTCTATGGAAGCAACGTCTTACAAATGAGGCAACAGAAGCTTTAAGCTGGGAGCGGAGCTGGGACGGGAACTTCCCTCCAACACCTTTAAGGGCTTTTTCTGACTCACAGGATGCTTTCTGGTCTTCGAATTCTCTAATTTTTTCCCCACTTCAGTGATCTCTTGGTTCAGGTCTTCTTACCTCTGGCCTAGACAATGAACCTGCCCTTCTGCCACTGTCTCCTGGAACTAGTCATGAGCCATACACTCTCCTGGCCTTCACGAGGATCCCAGACCAGGAGAAGGGGCCCAAATAAGAAAAAATCACACAGTGAGGTATGTACTAAGAAACAGAAGCATAGGGTAGTAGGAGACCATACGTAAGCAGCAGGGAGAGGAGACTGATCTAGCCTGAGGACAGAGGTACCTGAAAAGGTGCGTGAGGTTAAGTTTAAATCAGAGGGAGATATTTCAGAGCACTTCAGGTGGAGGAAAGAGCATCTGCAGAGGCCAGAGTGGGAGACACCCTTGCCAGGTTCTGCTACCTGAAGGGCCAACTGGCACACAGCTAGGTCTCCTTTTAGTGGGGAAGCAGGCAGATGGCACACCCCATTCTCAGTACGGTACGTCCCTAGTGCCCTTCCGATGATACCTGACAAGTGAATTGATATGTTTTATGCCTAAACACTGGAGTTAATTTTTAATGGAGACTCTAACATATAAATACCTTGGCCCGGAGAACATTTGTCGCCACATCTATCACAGCAAGGCCTGTGGCTCCAGCGGCTGCCGTCACTAGAACAGTTTCTCTGTGCCAAGGGAAGACAAACATTACTGCAGAAACCTTCAAAGTTCACCCAGTGGTAAGATTCCAGAGGCAGAGACTAGAGCTTTTTCCAGCAAGAATGGCAGAGGCCCTTTCATTCAAGCCCTCATGTAAGATCCATTTGCCAGCCTTGAGGGGTAGGATATGCACATGACTCCTGGTGCTAACCTAGTCTGGTTCTAAAGACTAGGTTAAAGACTCTGGGTAGAAGGTTTCTCAGTCTCCCAGATAGCCTCTCTCTCATGGCAGCAGCAGTTGTTCCTTGGAGCAACCATACCAACACATGCTTCAGAAATGTCATCCTACAGGCATTCTTACATAAACACCGCCTGATTTCAGAAGGTGTTGGCCATGGAATAGCCACTGATCGAATGAGGCTACCAGCAATTCTGAAGGCTACCTCTCTGAACAGATGGATGGCCAGTTTCCCAAGTAAAGGGAAGATTCTAGAACTTTTACGTTTAAAACATCCATAGCCAGGAGGTGGTAGTATAGGCCTTTAATCCCAGCACTTGGAAGGCAGAGGCAGGCAGATCTCTGTGAGTTCAAGGCCAGCCTGGTCTACAGACTGAGTTCCAGAACAGCCAGGGTCACACAGAGAAACCTTGTCTCAAAAACAAATGGATAGATGATAGATAGATAGATAGATAGATAGATAGATAGATAGATAGATAGATAGATAGACAGATAAATAGAATAAACCCTATTTTCCACAACCAAGTAAGCCTCACAGAAACACATACCATACATATCTAGGAAGCTAGTTTAAAATAAGCCAGCCTCCACCTAGGAACGATGGGACATGCCTGTAATCCCAGCTCTCAGAAGGCTGAGGATGAAGCTCTGAGTTTGCAGCTAACCTGGACTATATAAGTTGTCCCAGGCCAGCTACATAGCAAGACCCTGTCTTAGAAGTCTAAATAAGTAAATTAAAGTAAAAATAAACCAGGTGTGTAAACTGGAAGTACTCCTATGAAGGGATCGACAAAGTGGTCAGGTTCAAGAGAACTGCCTTTCCAATTTCGTATTCCAAGTTCTACCATTCCGAGGCAAAAGAATGACCTATACTTAGTCTCTAGTGTAAAATAAAATTACCTTTCTTTTGCCTTCCCTCAACGTAAAGGAACTTGAGCTAAAGAGAAGCAGAGGGGAAAGGCAAGAGAAAAGAACGAGAGAGGGGAGTGGGAGGGGATTAAGTTTTAGCTCATGTAGCTCTCCCTGACATCTGACTCACTATGTTGCTGAGAATGGCCTTGGGCTCCTGATCTTCCTGCCTTTCTTCCCAAATGCTAGAAACACCAAGCGCACCACGTAGATGGGCTTCAGGCAAGGTCCTGTCAGGCCTTTCTAACAGCAGAAGAAAGCACCACTTAACCTTCTGTCTCCTACACAGTCCTCACCCAGGCTGGACGCGGGCCCGATGATCTACAGCCAAAATAGCTGTGCCGTAAGATACGGGTAGCACTGCAGCATCTTGCAGAGAGATGTTTTCTGGAACCCTCCACAGGCTCTATACAAAGACATAACAGCAATTGGTGGTAAACATATGTACCTGGTTACAGAGGCTGCTCAACAAACATGGTTTGATTGGGTGGGTTAGTCCAACAAATAGCACACATCTATCATCACCTATCAAGGAGTACAAGTCAGGACCGAGCAAGCGAAAGTAGGGCTTAGGACCTGGGTGTGTCAGACTTCAGACCCGTAAGGCTGGCATCTGCTCCAAAAGGAGCCAATTGGTGGAGAATAGACCCCAGCTTACTATGCCATCACGGGTGAGCTGTGTGTTATGTAAAGTTTACCTCAGCAAAGTTGAACCGTACCCATAAGGATCCATATAACATGTCCCACTAGGGGGCACCATTTACACCCTGCTCACCCCATACAGGGCTGGCTGGCTACCTTGGCTGGCTCTGCTTCAGGCGCAGACTACTTCTATGTGCTTATAGGAAAATAAGCCTGTGATATCCACTTCAATGTGCAAAACCAGTTTTTCAACTATGACTCACTAAATATGGTCCAAATGAATGGCCAGCCAGTTGCTTGGCACAGAAAAAGAGAAAGAAAGAAAGAAAGAAAGAAAGAAAGAAAGAAAGAAAGAAAGGAAGGAAGGAAGGAAGGAAGGAAGGAAGGAAGGAAGGAAGGAAGGAAGGAAGGAAGGAAGGAAGGAAGGAAGGAAGGAAGAAAAATTCTACACACACACACAAAAAAAAACAAAACTGGGCAAGGGCTATCATGGCAATAGAGAAAAAAGTTTAGCATTTGAAGGGGGAAAAACTGCTTGGTTAAGAAACAAGATAAAATGAAACAAATGCAAAAGGAGGACAGCGTGAGGAAGAGAGACAAGGACACTAGAGCAAACAAAGGAAAAGGAGTAATGTCTATGTGTCCACCAATGCTGAGAGTTAGAGGTACCTTCTGGTTAGTGATGCACTGTTCGGCCATAGCGTTAAAGCTACTCACTCCGATAACTGGATCTCCCTGGAGGGAAAAGAATATATGTTCAAAGGCACAGCCTTGCATTCCAAAACACACACCTCTGACCCATAAGACACAGCTTTGCCTTAATATCTGTTCAGAGCTCATTTCCACTTTAAAACCAGAACCACAGTTTTCTCAATACTGCCACCAGGCTACCAAGCTAATACAGGCACATTTTATACAACAAGGGAGCCTAGGAAGGAAAAGTTGGGAGGAATAAAAATTCCTGTGACTACTTGCTTTCACTTGAGATTCAGACTTTAAAATCCTTTATCCTTTCAGTAACTGAAGACCAAGTGTTGTCTTATAGTCAAAATAGTTTAATGAGGCCAGAAACTTCCACCAAGTCCCCTCAGCTCTTTATTCAAAATTCATTTTTTCCTTCTGTCTTGGTCACACGGCAAGACCAGGAGAAGCAAGACCTTCTAAGTATAAATGAGATTAGCATGTTTCTTACAGCTACACACACATTCTGGGGTTTTAACCATTTACCTTTTTCACAGTGCTGACATCTGCTCCTGTCTCCAGGACGACCCCAGAAAACTCCATTCCTACAATAGTCAAAGGTTGGGTTACCAGCCAGGGTGGTAGTGGTGCATGCCTTTAATCTCAGCACTCCGGAGGCAGAGGCAGGTGGATCTCCGTGAGTTTGAGGCCAGCCTGTACTGCAGAGATAGTTCCAGGACAGCCAGGGATACATAGAGAAAACCTGTCTCAAAAGAAAAAAGCAAAAAAGAGAAAAGATATATATATTAGGTTCTCTTTGAAGCCTGGCAACCTAGAAATGGAAAAACTGATCAACAGGCCTTATTGTCTGATTTGGGAACTATTGCATTTTGAATGCTCATCATTTTAACTAAAGTAAAAGGTGGTACTCAAAACACAGCATAATGAACATAAGATTTCATGCTTAGGACACATACGTTATGGCTGTCCCACTCTTGACCACGATCTTTTCAAGAATATGCAAAAGTACAGAGACTCACAGATGCACAGGAACTCTTAACCCTGATCACTGGCCTCCTGCACAACCTCAACTACAATGATCACCAAATTATACCTATCTGCTGCTCTGTCCCCTTTGCTGAACTTGGAAGCGGTCCTCAAAGATGTGACCTGTGTTTGTTCAGACAGTGCTCAGCTCAGCAGGATGCATTAGTGTCATCTGCCCTTTCTTCATCTACCCCTGAAATTCATGAACCTCATAGCTATGCATTTCTTACTTCCTCTGCCAGGGGAATAACTTAATTGTGACATCTTCCTCTGGTCTATTTCTTTCAGCAAATACAAACAGAAGGAAATGGTTCCTAGTATTAAAACAGAGCCAAAAAACCCCAAACATACCAGCCATGTTGCAATCATGCATTCACTATAACCCTTATATTTATCTATATAAAACATGCATGTACCATAAACACACTAAGCTCTACTTAGACTTTCTTAAATAAACTTCAACAACAGAATTCAGTCATTTAGCCACATATTAAAGGTCTAAAAGCAGCCAGGTAGTGGTGGCACACATATTAAATCCCAGCACTTGGGAGGCCAAGACAGGTGGATCTCTGTGAGTTCAAAGACAGCCTGCTCTACAGAGTGAGTTCCAGGACAGCCAGGGCTACCCAGAGAAATACTGCCTTGAAAAACAAAAACAAAACAAAAGGCCTAAAAGTAACCTTTTAGACAGAGCACAGTGAAAATCAGACAGTGGGCTGCTAAGACATGTCTAAACGTTTTCCTCCCTCTTCTTCCTTTTGGACCTTCAGTATTCAGTTTCTTCAAGTTTATGCTGGTTTCGGCTATAGGTCATAGCGGCAAACATATTCATGATCCTTCGGTGAAAAATGAAACTGAGGCAACACTAAGAAGGCAAAAGGAGGGCTGGAGAGATGGCTCAGCGGTTAAGAGCACCGGTTGTTCTTCTAGAGGACCCAAGTTCAATTCCCAGCACTCACATGGCAGCTCACAACTCTCTGTAACTCCAGGTCCAGGTGATCTGACACCTTCACACAAACATACATGCAGGCAAAACACAAATGAACGTGAAATAAAAACAAATAAAATTATTTTTTTAAAAAGACAAAAGGAATGACTAGGGTGGACAGAAAGGAATTCTGGTGAACACAGCAATGTGCAAACAGGTGCCTGTTTATTCACTGTAAAACAGTCAGTGGACGTCCTACTTAGCTTTGGCTGTCAGCTTGACACAGCCCAGAAGCATCTGAGGGATTCACAATTAGGAGGTTGCCTCAGTTGGATTTGCCTTCGGGCATGTCTGTAGGGCATTTTCTTGATTGCTAATTGATGTCAGCCCCAATGGGAATGGTATCACCTCCAGGCAGATGGGCCTGGGCATATAAGAAGGATAGCTGATGTACCTAAGAGCAAGAAGCATTTGTCCCTGGCTTCTGCCTCAGTTCCTGCCCTGACTTCCCTCGGTGATAGAAGTGTAAGCCAAATAAACCCTTTCCTCCCCAAGCTCACTTTGGTCAGAGTCATTTGTCACAGCGACAGAAAATCTAAGTCAACCACTGAGTGTTGTCTATAAGCCAGGACAATGCTAAGCTGGAGGTACCGACACTGAGAAACCTCGCTAGTCAAGCCTGGCAGAGAGCGGGCAGTAGCGTCTGCGAAGATGCACGTGGCTCTGAAAACTCCCACAATTCTCCTTTTCCTGAAGTCATCCCTTGGTCTGCGGTACTCACCAGGTGTAAAGGGAAGAGCAGGCTTTTCCTGATATTGACCGCGACAGACCAAAATATCAGCAAAGTTAATGCCGCAGAAATGAACATCAACTCTGACCTGCAAAAGAAACTCAGCTCAGCCAAATAGAGAACTGTACACCCTAGAGACAATGTTCATTCAATAATAATTAATTCAAAAAGGGTTACTGAATGAATGACAACCCTATGCCAGATAATGAACAATGAGCCAGAGTATTATAAGGCAAAATGGACCCAAGTTTCTGTCTTTGTGGACATGAAAGTAAGGTAGAGAAGGCACCAACTAAATAATAATGAATCTAATGAAGCCATGTGTAGTTTTGTTGTTGAGTCAGAATCTCACTGTGTAGCCCAGGCTGGCCTCAAACTTGAAATCTTCCCTCCGGGGCCTCCCAGAATTATAAACCTGAACCGCCTTGCCCGCCATGCCTGTTAAATTATAACTCAGCATAAAGTACTAAAGACAGGAGAAAGCACATAATGAGGGTATGTGACCCCTTGAAGAATGTCAAGAAAAACTAGGAGAGTAACCCTTGGGCTAATAGAAGCAAAGGGTTCATTTTTCAAACTAGGAGGTGAAAACTTGCAATGGTTAGTGCAAATGCCCTGCCTCCGGGAAGAAAGAAAAACCCAGTGAGAACTGGAAGAGAAGACAAAGGAGTGTGAGAGTGAGTTCACACCAAGGTTGGAACAGCAGGATGCCAGGAAGTGGGGGAGGAGGGAGCTAAGCACAGACAACTTGAGCTGAAATCCGAGAGGAGAGCCTAACTCCCTGTCTTCTATGCTCTCCGCAAAGGCATCACTGACACAGAACCACCTGGCCTGTGATATCTCTAGACCTGTGGTTTTCAACCTACCTACCGCTGCAACCCTTTAATACAGTTCCTCATGACATTATTTTGTTGCTACTTCATAACCGTAATTTTGCTACTTTTATGAATCATAATGTAAATATCTGATATGGGACCTCTGTGAAAGGATCATTCGACCCCCAAAGGAGTCATGACCCACAGGTTGGGAGCCACTGCTCTAGAGTTTTTGAGGAACCAGCCAGCGAGTCTCAAAGGGTGGTTGGCTCTGGACCACCAGAGGCATCCTCTGGGAATTTGTTCCTAAGTCAAACTTCACCAGGTGTGGAGGCATGTGCCTTTAATGACAGTTCTGAGAAGACAGAGAAAGACAGACCTCTGTGAATTCCAGGCCAGCCGGATCTCCATAGTGAGTTCCAGGCCAGCCAGGAATGCATAGTGAGACTCTGTCTTTAAAAAAAAAAAAAAAAAAAAAGGAAGAAGGGAAGAAATGCAAACTTCCAGGCCACACCCCATGCTGAATCATACACAGGAAGGAAAGGCTCAGCTGTCTGTCTGAGCAGGCCCAGATGACTCTGGTGCTCATTAGAGAACACATCCCAACAAGGGTTGGAATCCCAGAAGATGCCAGTTGGCATACTAAATCAATGGTATTTACTTGTTTAAGCTTAGCATTGAGGTGTCAGGTTGGTTAAAAGCCATTTTTTTTTTTTTAATCTACAAAAAAAAAAAATCATCCATTTCTCAGTTCTTTAAGCATGTGCCACATGCCAGGGCCCATCCAAACTCCAGGGACTTAACGGCAAATAAAAATAACACAAATACAGTTCTCACAAGTTAACTCCTTACAATACAAATAGCAAAGCTGAGGAGGCCAGGCCTTAGCCTCAGAAAATTGGACTAGTTATTGACAGCACTCCCACGCCGTCAAGCCACTCCATTTTGATTTAGTAACAACTTAGGCAACAGTGGTGAGGCATTTCTGCACTCCAGATGCAAGAAGATCATAAGTTCAAGACCAGCCTGGTGTCTTGGAAAAAAAAAAAAAAAAGGCAGTGATTTCCCAGAAACGAATGACTAAAGATGAGCTCTGGGCACATGAATCTGAAGAAGCAGGGTGGCCGTCATCTCATCCATCTTAACCACAGACTCCACTGTGGTGACCTCTCAGGGCTGCAGTTGCATTTCTGTCTCTCATCAGTGATGCCTAACGTGAAGACACTCTTGCCTCCTCCACCTGTTTCAAGTTCTGATTCCGATCCACATATTTGTCACATACTGTCACCAGAGTGGCCAAAGGCAAAGCCAAGGTGACTTTCACATTTCCAGGCAGGATCCACAACAGGAAAAGAATCCCAGCGCAAATTACTGCAGGACATCAGAGCGACCCAGAGTGAGACAGGGCAATGGTTTAGAGGAGAGGGAACAGAAGATAATTTGACACTGACAGTGAGGAGGGGCTAAGCGAAGTGTAAGGGTCCTTTTATCTGTATTGTTATGTAAAGTCGGGTGTAAATCAGACGCTGTTTCTAAGGCAACCGCCCTGGAGCTCTCGAAAGAGGCCTCGACGTGAGTTTTGAGAGAACGCTGCCTTGACACTTTTGGCCTTTCTGTGAACCTAGAAAGGGCTTGACATTTCCAGCATGGAGTGGGTGAGCTCCAGCCACTAGGACGCTCCCTAGGCTTGGGAACCAGGATCTCGACTGCAACAGGAAGCCAACGAATGCGTGGGGCGGAGAGAGGCAGAGATTTCGAACCCTAGGTGGAGGCATCCCGCGGGTCAGGCCTGTCACCCTACCTCGTGCGGCCCCACGGGGCGGGGAGCCATCTCTTCAATGGCCAGGGGCTGCTTCAAATCGGCGCAGAGTGCGGCGCGGTAGTGCCGGCGCTGGCCCTGCCGGGCTTGCCTGCTGCGAAGAAAAAGGGGCGCGTGCTGGAGGTGGGGGGATCTCGGGGGAGAGTCGGGCTTGCACCTGCAGAGCCACGCCGGAGGGAGGCACCGTGCACACAGCCGCGCCGCCATGGCCAGCTGCAAGTCGCGGGGGGGCGTGGCCAGCGTGTGGCAGGAAGAGCCCGCGGGAGAGCGGAAAGGCGTCCGGGGACAGGCCCCGGGTCGACCCAGCCACCCGACGGACGGGCGGAGCTCGTCCTCTCCCGGGAACATCAGCCCCACCCTGCGTCTAGGGCTAGACTGTGGGCTGCGCTGCCTGTGAGCCGGTCCTCAGTTCTGGAAAGCAAAGAGGGCGTCTGAGGGATTCGGTTACCCCAGATTAAGACAGTCTTTAGGGTGTCACTACGTTGCTCTCGCTGACCTGGAACTCGCTGCGATCACCAGCCTGCCCCAGAATGTGGGCTCTTCCTGCCTCTGTTTCCTAAGTGCTGGGAGTACATGCATGTGCCTGGGAGGCTGTTGAATCTATATATTTGGCTTAAATACATATTTGGCAACATTTCAGTGGTATTTTGGGGTTCTCTGTAAGAAAGAAGTTCTAAGTGCATAGGTGAATGCTTTGATGTCTGCTTTTGAACATCTTGCTAGTGTTCTTGCTACTAATTTTCTCACACAGGATTAATTATGATAAAACTAAAGTGTTACTAAATGGTCTGGTGTCAACTGATCCTAAGCAAATCCAAAGAGAATGTCCAATTAAAGACAAACCAGCTGGGCACACGCCTGAAATTCCAGGACCCAGGAGACAGAGGCAAGAAAATTGAGAGTCAGGCGGAGCTCCATAGTGAGACCCTGTCACAGATAAAAATAAAAATAAATGAACATGATGACAAACACCTTTAATCCCTCCACTCACAAGGCAGAGCTAGACGAATCCCTGTAAATTTGAGGCCAGCCAGTTCCTGGCTAGGCAGGGCTAGAGAAACCCTGTCTAAAAACATTAGTTAATGAAAAATATAAAGTCAGGCCAAAATGTAATGGTTTTCGTTCCAAAGGCCTACTAGGTTTAACACTTAGTAAATGTGCTTCATTGACATAATCCCTAGGTGCACAGGTATATAATTGGTTAGGAGTTGGCAAGATGGCTGAGTGGGTAAGGGTGCTTGCAAGCAGGCTTGACAAACTTAATTCAATCCCCAGAACCCACATGGTTAGAAAGAGAGAACCTACTCCCAAAAATTGTCCTCCAACCTCCAAATGAGCCTTATTACACATACACACACACACACCAAAAAAACACTATATATATATATATATATATATATATATATATATATATATATATATATGTATGTGTATATATAATATGTTTTATATATAAATTAGTTAGATCTACTTAAAACAGCAAGCAAATATACACCAGCAAAGTATGAGGCACATATTATGCCTCATACATGGGAAGAATGTATCACTGGTTAATTAGCATTTAATGACCTCATAATGTCTTTAAAAGATACATGGTCAAAAAGTATCGGTCACAGGTTGAAACCCAGCTCTACCACCTCTTTGACCACCTCCTTAATGGTTCCCGCCCTCAGTTAACGCTTCCATAAAGAGAAGACATTGAGCAGAAATGAACAGCAATCAAAAAAAAAAGGGAAACTGTAAAGCAAAAATGAAGAATTCATTTCTGAATTTATGATCTAAAGGCTTTGATGGATGAAGAACCCAAGAACAAACAACCACTTCAGGTGTCCAGTAGAGGACACGGTCATTAGAATGGCCACCACTGGGAAATTTTAGCTCCATATACACAGCAGAAGAAAAACAAAGTCCCCAACAGGAGGAGACTCTTTAAAACCTTTGTTTCCAATAAGACAGACACAAAAGCCTTTTGTAAACTGTCTATAAACCAAGCCTTTAAGCCGAAACAAGTAGCTGGAGATGTGGCTCAGTGCTGCAGTGCTTGCCTAGCATGCTTGAGGCCCTGGCAATCCTCAGCAATGCGGAAAGAAAGGAAAGAAGCCAGGAATTGTGAACAAATGCAATGTCACCACCAAATGGTGGTGGCGGCCTAGCTTGTAGCATACTGTAGGCTGGTAATATAGCTCCATAGTAGAGTGCCAACCTAGCCTGTGAGGCCCTGAGTTCCATCCCTAGCATGGGGGTGGGGGGTGGGTTCCTGGTTGCCAGAAGATAGTCAACAACAATGAATCTCTTAATTTTTGAAGTCTGTAACGAGGATTGTTTGTTCTGAATATTAAGTGTAGACCAGGCAAGGCCTCAAACTCATAAGAGATCCAAGCAGTGCCTCCAGAGTACTGGGATGAAAGGTGTACACCGTCACACCCAATCCTGGCAACCATTTCTTAATTTTGTTTATATTGACCGTATCTCTACAATGGGTTGACACTTTTAAGTATTTAATAGATATGTATCTAGTGAATTTGTTGAATGAGGACTCAGGTATCTAGTATTAATTTTCCAGATAACTGGAAGTAATTCTAAGTAGTAAGTCTTTTATTTTTCAATTAGGTGCTTTTACGGAAAGTTTTTCACGTATATTGAGGGAGGAACGTATGTGTGGTGTATGTTCATGTGAACATGCCTATACTCACACAGAGGCCAGAGAAGGGTGTGAGTGTGCTTCTCTCCCACTCCCTGCCTTGTTCCTTGTCTCCCTGGACCTGGAGCTAGGCCAGTACTCAGCAAGCCCCAGGGATCCTCTTTCCTTCACCTCTCACAGCACTGGGTTTAGAGACATGCACATGACCACCTCCAGCTTTTCAGGAGGTTGCTGGGATTAAACTCATGTCCTCCAGCTTGTACAGCAAGCACTCTTACTCACCAAGATGTCTCTCCAGCCCCAGGGGGGGGAAAAATGTTCCATTATTGTTATCACAATATTCTGCCATTCTCAGAGACTATGAAGATCAATGAATGTAAGAAAATCTTTCAGTACCGCATTCAACATTTATGAAAACATCTAAAAATATAGTAATCTTTTTAAGAAGAGTCTTGAAAGGTGTTGGGAGTATTTTAGGTAATTGAGTTGGTTTGATCACTTACGTGTAAAATAACTTTCCCGTTTACAGAGAGCGGTCAAAAGGGTGACAGGGTGTTTAATGGTAGTTGCCATGGTAGCAAAAGAAACATCTAGCCTGTCCATCAAGGTGTTGCACCACGCCTTGCTGACTACTTTTAGCTATTGTTTCTGCTTGTCCTGGTTATTTAGTTTTATTTGAGAGTGAGATGGAAAGAAGAACAAAGGGTGAGTCCTGTAGGAAATTAGCGTCAAGCAACTAAGTCTGAACCCTGAGTCCTCCCTCAAGGTGGGGGAGACAGATCACTGCCTCCAACCTAGCCTGAGGGCACGCTGGGGAAGTAAAAGAGTAACAGAGGACTCTCTCCCTTCGGGTGCAAATCACATGGAGAGATAACATTTAACATCCAGAAGCTGCTGGAGGTCTGGGGGCGAAGAAGCAAGCCAAAGCTGAACACACAAGCCTCTCTGTTTTCACAGAATAATAGACAACAATGTAAGCTCAACGCAGGACGATGCTGGGAATGTAGAAGAATCCTCCACGGTAAAAATGTGCTATCCAATGACATATCTCGAAAAGAAAGGCTGTTTCTGCTGCCTCCAAGTCTACCTCCATGTCTAGCACATAGCAACTACTCAGTGAATGCCAAGAGGGAGGGATGCAGGCCTCGCTCCAAGCTGTGTAGGAAAGCTGCTGGTACCACATAACTGAAGCCACAAATCCCAAAGGTTGTTTGTTTATTTGTTATTTGTGTCCTTAATTATTTGTTTGTTTATTTAGTGTTTTAGTGTGTGTGTGTGTGTGTGTGTGTGTGTGTGTGTGTGTGTGTGCAGTCATGAGTTTATGTGCACCACATACAGGAATCCAAGGAGGCCAGAAGAGAGAGTAAGATACCCTAGAACTGGAGTTAGAAGCTACTGTGACCCCTGTGGTTGCTGGGGATGGAACTCTGAACTATTCCATCCCAGGAACAATCAAAAGTTTATTTTTCCAACCCCCATAGGATCAGGATTTCTGATCTGAGATGGAATTCAGGATAATCTTATCATTAATCCCAGTACTTGGGAGGCAAAGGCAGGAGGAGCTCTGTGAGTTTAAGACTAACCTGGACAGCCAGGGATAGAGAGAGATAGAGACAGTGTCTCAAGAAATAATGACAACAAAATGACATTCTGATCAAACTGCCTCATTTGTAAGGAACAAAGCAGGTGGGGTCTGGCCCAAGGTCACATTGCTAAGGTGGTGGTAGAAACAGCATTAGGATCAGATATTCCTGTGTGTTACTGTTTCTACCATGATGGATGAATTTCATTTCTCCGTAAACGCATCATCATCATCATCATCATCATCATCATCATCATCATCATCCTTACTTCACTTTTTCATAGTGCTTCATAAGTTTCAAATCCCTGTTACCCAAATAGCCAAACAGCTTCATCTTTACCAGTGAGAATAATGACAATTAGCATTAGAATGAACACTTGTTAGTTTCTTACATAGCAGAGCAGTTTCCAAGTCCTTTTGTATGGTTTCATTAACTCTCACAATGGTTCTATATATCAGGATACTAACATACTATTTTTTTCCCACTCTTTTATGGATCTGGAATATAGGCTGAAGGGGGCTAAGTAACCTGCCCCAAGGCCACACATCTAGGAAATAGAGCAGTTTAGCATCATCCTAATTGCCTGCTGCCAGAGCCCCTCTCACAGTTTCCAGCCACCCACTGAGCTTCCCCCAAATGCCCTCTGAAGTAGACAAAGAAGGTATTATACAATTCATTGTAAAGCCATGCTTTGCTTGGAGTTTTAAGCTTCGTTTTATAGGAATTTTACAGTCTCTCGGTCCCACAAAAGAGAATAATTCCCTAAAGAAAAGAATATAGTGAAAGCAGCCTCTGAGGATGCCTGCAGTTAAAGAACAAGTGCAGGGGGGAAAAAAATGCTGGCATATAATTAGGAGCTACTACCCTGTTCCATATAGCCATACCCTTGAGAATGCATTGGTTTCTTTTAAAAGTATACTGTGTAAGATGTAGCACTGTGGTTATGAAAAGCAACACTCACACACATACAGGGAGGCACAAAGTGATTAATGAAACAGTG